GTCTGCCTTCAGCTCAGGTCATGATCCCAAGGTCCTGGGATCAATTCCCGCATCGGGCTCCCTGCGCAGTGGGGAGCCTGCTTCTCCCTCTGCCTGCCACTCCCCCTGCTCGTGCTCATGTTCACACTCTCTCTCTGCCAAATAAATAAATAAAAATCTTTAAAAAAATAAAATAGGCATCGTTAAGATATACAACTCTACCTTCAAATAATACTATACCTATTCATGTTTAATGAGTACTAAACCTATTCATGTAGACGAAACCTTTCAACAATGTATGTCCATTTTCCTTAAACTTGTATTGTCTTCATACATTTTACTTCCACATCATAATCCTCATAAAATGCTATTATTTATGCTTTAAATAGCCAATTATAACCCTCAGATAATATTTACTCAATGGAAAACAAGACAAGGATGTCTGCTTTCACCACTGCTATCCAATATAGTATTGGAAATTCTAACAAGAGGATTTAGACATGAAAAAGAAATAAAAGACAAATTGGAGAAGAAGAAAAATTATGTCTGTTCACAAATGACATAATTTTATATGTAGAAAACCCTAAAAATTCCACACCAAAAAAACAACTGTTAGAGGTAACAAAATTCAACAAAGTTGAAGGATACAAAATACACAAAAGTCAGTCATATTTCTATACACTAGCAATGAACAACCTGAAAACAAAGTTAACATTTCCATTTATAATAACGTCAAAAAGAATAAAATACTTAAGAATAAATCTAACCAAGGTGGTAAAAGACTTGTATATTCCTACACCTATTCAATGAAATATTCATGACAGAAATTAAAGAGAAGATAAATAAATTAAAAGACATCCTATGTTCATAGACTGGAAAACAATATTGTTAAGATGACAACACTACCGGGCGCCTGGGTGGCTCAGTTGGTTAAGCGACTGCCTTCGGCTCAGGTCATGATCCCGGAGTCCTGGGATCGAGTCCCGCATCGGGCTCCCGGCTCAGCGGGGAGCCTGCTTCTCCCTCTGCCCCTATCCCCTCTCATGCTGTTTCTCTCTCTCTCTCTCAAATAAATAAAATCTTTAAAAAAAAAAAAAAAAAAGATGACAACACTACCTAAGTCTATGTACAGATTTAATGCAACCCCTATCAAAATTCCAATTGCATTTTCAGAAATAGAAAATCATCCTAAAAATTCATATGAGATCTCAAAGGTCCCCAAATAACCAAAACAATCTTGGAGAACTTTCAAAACTTACTACAAATTTATTAGAGTAATCAAAATAGGGTGGTACTGGCATAAGGGAAATAGACTAGAACAGACAGCCCAGAAATTAACCTTCACATATATGTCAACTGACTGACTTTTGATAATGGTGCCAAGATCATTCAATGGGGAAAGAATAGTCTTTTCAACAAATAGTGCTGAGAAAACTAAATATCCACATGTAAAACTAGATATCCAACTTCCAAAGTAGTTGGGATCTTACCTTATACCACATACAGAATTAACTCCACCTGGATCAAAGAGAAAACCGTAAGAGCTAAAACTATAAAACTCTTACAAGAAAGCATACAGGAAAGGCTTCATGACATGGATTTTGTACTGATTTTTTGGATTTAACACCAAACACTAGGCAACAAAAGAAAAATAAAATAAACTGGACTTCTTCAAAATTAAAAATTTTTGTGCATCAAAAGATACCATCAAGAAAGTGAAGATAGTCCACAAAATGGGAGAAAATATTTGAAGATCTTATATCTGATAGGGATTAATATTATTATTAATCTAATAGAGCCTCTAGCCCTAATTTCCAATTTACAAAAAAACAGGACAGAGGAACAAGTTAAACATTAGCCTGAGTTAAAAAACAGACATATCTAGCAAAAGAAGTATTCTAAAAGATAATTGGCCTGATAGGGGTGTTGTGCAAGATTAAGGAAAAGAGACAACAAAAATGCATGAACCTTGACTGAATCCTAGATTGTGGCTAGGGGGCAAGCAGAGAGCTTTAAAAGACATTCTTAAGATAACTGGGAAAATATAAGTCTATATATTATGCAAGGGAATGCACTCATCCTTAAGAAATGCACACTGACATAGTTAAGGGTAAAGTGTTATGATGTTTGAAACTTAGTTTTAAATAGTTCTGCACCCCCCCCCCAAATAAAAGGACAGAGAATATGACGTCAACAACTGCCAAATTTCAGTGGAAGGTATGAGTGATCACTGTACTATTTCTTCCTCTTTTCTGTAAACTTGAAAACTTTCAAAATAAAAAGTTTAGGGTAAGAAACCTTTAGGTTTCCACGAAACTACACAACTTAAAATGGCTAAAATGGTGAATTTTAGATCATGGGATTTTAATCTCAAAACAAAACCCCCACCCCAAAATAACCCAGAGCTATGGGTATCTGACCCTGTGGAGCTACTGTGGAACTACCCTGCACAGCCTCATTCTCATACACCATGATGTGAAAGGCCATGACACTGAGTACAGTGGTGTTCTCATGGAGTTAGAAGGAAACACAGAATCTTTATGCAGAATTAAAAAGAAATTAGGATAAGATATATGATAAAATTACTTTTATACAATTTAATTGCTATTATTTATTTTAGAATGCATAGGAGGAAGCAAGTCATAATGATTTGGCCCCAAATCAAGCACAATTGGTTAAGAGTAAAATGCCAAAAGCAAACCAAACTGGCCACACACCTGGATTGATGGATGGAGGAGGTGGAGGTGGGAGAGGTCGGCCTTCTTTAATGGCTAGCGTACACTGCTTTGCCGATCGGATGGCATTAATGAGGTCTTCATGTTGTTGTCTCCAGTTAGATCTCCTCACAGGTTGAGGCTATAAAAAACAAAACCAATATATACTACCTAGACTGTACATCTCCCCACTGCTATTTTATTTTATTTTAAGATTATTTGCTATTTTAACCTGAGATTTAAATTTATACGAAATAGGACTGAAATTTTGAGGGAAAAGAGAATTTGTTTTCAAAAGTACAAAAAAGGAGGTTTGGAAAATACAGTAATAAAATTTGCAAGTCACTGAAGTGAGGGAAAACACAAAATAACCGTCAGAAAAACAAGCTACAAAACTTTAAAGAAAAACTTAAATTTAAGATTAAAAAGGATTCTCTTCCAAGTTAATTGCTAGATTTAACGCTAGACTAATGAAAACATAAACAAGATTCTTTTTTGCCACATCTGGAAAATATCTGAAATACATTTCGAAATCTAAGTGAGCATGATTAAAAAGAAAACAGTAAAGGTGGATTATACTTACATGACATTACACTGCACTACCAAGCAAAAATGAAACCAGAGAGCCAAAAAGAGGCTTTAATGTACTTAAGGATGTAATCAAGAACAGTAAACAAGATATTGATAGTACCTTGGATTGAGGAGCCTTTCTCACAATGGGAATGTCAGTGCCCTGTAATCTTTGTTTCAAGGAATTGAAAGGTTTACGTTTTTTGTTGAAGAGTTTTCTACATATTGGTCCATGCCTTTCCTAGAAAAGAAACAGTGGGGATTAAAATTTTTAACATGTACAGTCACAAGGTTTGTACTCAGGCAGCCCCCATTGGAGTGACAGGGTTCACCTTCGGAGCCAAGTTCATTCTCCAACTCTCAAAGCACAGCAGAGCAAATCCATCTGGCTCTCTCCACCCTTGTTACACATCACTAGATATTGCGTGAGGGTAAGGTCAAGAAGAGGCCTCTGCAGCTACAGAGACTTACCTCGAATTTGGTTTTATATATTGAATTCTACCACTTGGGCTGTGTGAGTGGTTCCAGGCATTAAATAATGTTGAAAAGGCAAACTCTCTAGTTTAAATTGAAATAAATATTTCTGATAGTGAGCTAGGTACTCACTGAAGCCAAGGAAGTTCTCCTGATTATGTCTTCTGTTCGGTTTCCTGTGTCCACAATTCCCAAATTCCATGAGCAAGTCATCCAGTAACCTACCAGAGAATCTGAGTCCCAACAATCCTAATACTGTTTTGCCATCCTTTTGAAACAGTCCTTTGCATACAGCAAGGGGAAACTTAGTTCCTACCAGTGGAACCTTCTCAGGAAAACTCTTCTTACCACTCAGCAATTTCAAAATTGAATTTAATGGGGTCACTTTTCTGCATACAGCAAATTAAACTACTTAACTGCCTCAAGAAGTGGAGAGGTTTCAAAGAAATATTTGAGAACATCTGCAAAAGACAACTGGGACAACCATACAAATAAATGAAGGATACACCAATTCCATTTACATTATGAAGATATTTTCCTTTAATTTATCCAAACATTTCACATCCATGAAGTCATTTATTTCAGAGCAAATCTAAGCATTTAATATTAAGTTTTACAATGTTACAATATTTAACATTTAACAGACGATCGGCAGGGAAAACATTCTTTACTCCAGCCAAGTAATCCTTTAAGTACTCAGCATTTCTAGTACATAAGACAGGGAATCAACACACAGAGCTCTCTGCCTGTGTACGACCCTTACAAAGTCTGTTACAGCATCACTATAGGATTACACCAACAACTTCCAACTAAATGTCCTCTTCCTTGGTGGATATGTAACTCATAATAGCTAACACACAGTTCCTTCGTCCAACAAAATACAGGGCTCTATAAAAATCCCTGCACCTTGTTACAAACAAGCCATACCATTTTATTTTATTTTTAAAGATTTATTTATTTATTTTAGGGAGAGAAAAAGAAAGACAAGAGGGGAGGGGGAGAGGGAGAGAAAGAATCTCCAGCAGACTCCCCACCGAGTGCAGAGCCCAATGTGGGGCTCCGTCCCAGGACCCTGAGATCATGACCTGAGCCGAAATCAAGAGTCAGACACTCAACCCACTGAGCCACCCAGGAGCCCCAAGCCATACCATTTTAAATTAGAGAGAGATCGTTATCACTTGATCAAATGCTCTTTGTAGCCTAGAGATAGGCCTAGAAGTAAAACCCAAGAGGACCCAACACATTGGGGATGACATTTAGTGATCCCCAAATGGATGGTACCTTCTAGGTCTCAAACTCGTTCTTATGGGGTGCAGGCCTGGCTTGGCAAAAGGAACACACCGGTGGATTCCTGGGCCACAATAGGCCCTGGAGCTCCTGCTGCTAAATTCAGAAGTTCTAGCTATAGTTAACTAGAACAGATATTTCATTTTTAAAATTCCCCAGAGAAAGAAAACCTACAACCTCACTGTACAGTCTTTCACCCCAAATGCAGTCAGGTGTATAGTTTAAATCCTTTAAGTTTGGTTACATCTCCTTGATCTAAAATGTTCAAACTCGGAGTTGCATTATCACCTCAAGTTTTTTTTTTTTAAACATTTTTCTTGGGAATCTCTTTATAATATTGGAATCTAATACCTGTTTGATTCCCTAATTTTGAAATTAAGCCTTTATTCCACTTTATAGGCATCAATCAGGGGCCTTGACATGTAGTTACTTTGAATCTGATTAACAATTAGATCTTGGAACAGGCCTTACATCCATTTTGTTCAAATTACGTAAAATCCCTGAAATTGAAAGGTTCTGTCTTTATACGTGGCAAAGCAGGAAACAGAGGGAGGTTAAAGGACTTGTCAGAATTAGTGACAAATTTGAGGCTAAAAGCCAAGTTTCCAGATGCTCCAAATTCAATGTTCATTCCTCTTGACTAGCTAATTTCCCTGGTGCTTTGGCCTTAAAATTTGAATTTTTGATGCTTATAGAAAAGGCAAAAGAGCCAAAACCTCTCAAGAGACAATCAGCTGTGCCAAAACACTTTCATCTGGCATCCTTTTTCTAAGAGTACCATGTTTAATTAAGCTCCCTCTTGAATGGGGTGGCATCTATGTGCCTCGGTGTCCTCTGGACCTGCCAGCCATAGGTTATGGACCTCTCTTCTCTTGCTTTCCCTCCACATCTGTCTTTAATCTTTGCCGCTGCAGCCTCCTCACTGACTTGACAGTTCATTTAACTCCAACGAAACACATCTACAAAATGTCTTTATGTTTACCAGAACATCTGCTGCAAAGCGTCTTCCACAGACTTCACAGGGAAGTAACTCCCGATTGCCATCTGTATAAGATCCAAAAGCACATGATGTTAGTTTCGTGGAACTGCCTGCCCGAGAAGAAATGACTAACTGGAGGGGACCTCGATAGCTTGATCGCCTCACTCTCTTTTCCCTCCCCACCAACTTCCTTCTCTTAGGAAGATACTTCATGAACTCAACCATCTTTTTTTTCTAATATAGACTTCTCACTTCACTAACAGGTAAATTCCATGTCCTTCAGGCAACCAGAGTACAATTCTTTAACATATTCCTGAATTAAGTGCCTAATAGCTTTGCTTTAGACATAAATGCAAAGTTAATACTTTAGTATAAAGTCATAAATTATCTAATGGTAACATTTTTAAGATTTCTATTAGGATGTAAAGCCTATGTGTGTGCTAAATGAAGGTGTGACAATTTATCACAGATCATATGAAAAGTCACCTAATCATCAAATTTAAAATCTCCTGAGAATGGCACTCTCTCAATAAATGCTCTTTGCTGGAAAAACTCCTACCTGAGAGGAAGGGAGTATAAGATACTGATGAAATGGACCAGGTAGAACTAATGGGACTTCTATCCAAATCAGGAAAGATGGTACCATTACAATGCAGAAGGATGGGAAGATGAGCAACATCCTAAGGAGGGGTGTTTGGTCAGACTTCTTAATGAAGTCAGTGAATAACACTCACTGCTAGCATTTTATATGCAGTAGTGAATGAGTGAGGGGCTGTAATCACAAGGAGGTCACTACTTGCTATTGTTTTTAATATTCAACTAGTGTTTTTAAAAGTTAAATGAAGAATAAAGTCAATTAAAAAAAAAAGAGGCTGAGACTGCACCCACATGTGCCCCATGTCTCAAAGTACCTGACCCATAGTAAGGTGTGCACAATAAAATACTTGTTGAATGTGTGGGCCAAACACCAACTGAGTTCCTACCTTAGGACCAATACTTCATTCTGTAACTACCTGCTACATGCAACTCTGTGGAAATATTGAGAGAAACCATACATGGGTCCAGCAGAGAAAAGGAGAGAGAGTGTGCCATTAAATGAAGTTAAGTGTCACAAGGAAAGGAAAACATTGTGGAATTCTGTAAAGGTTTCACCTCATTACTTTAAGTTCATCTGGAGTTGAGCATATAGATTAGAAAAGCTGATCATGGAGATGATGTTATACTAGACTAATAATCTGGGCTTTATTCTACAAACAAGGGGAACAATCAGGGACACTGAGTAGGAAGAATCTGAACAGAGCTGTGGACGGCTGAATGGATGGTAGTGGGGAGGGAAGATGCTATTTCAGTTAAAAAGCTAAAGGTGTAGGCCTGAAATGGAAAGAAAAGAGGAAATGAGAGACACTGTGCTCAAGGAATTGACAACATGACTAGATGTAGAAGGAGTGAGGTGACAAAGAGAACAGTGCAGGACTGAGAAGACGGTCGGGCTGTGGACAGAAACAAAATTTGAGAAGAAGGGCCATCTTAGTAAGAAAAATGATCTCAGCTTTGGAAATACTGAGTTTGAGAGAGTCATCCAGCCAGCAGGATGGAAATGAGGGAGGTCAGAGCTAGAGACACAGATGTAGGCTTTGTTTGGAGAGTGATGTAAAGGCATGATATTGCCAGGGAAGAGGTCATGGAAAGAGAAGTACAGGGATGATCCCTAGGGAACTCCGTATTTAAGGGCCAAGAAGATGAGGATGATAAGCCAGAAGGAGAAACAGGAGAGAACAAGGTCATGGAAACCAAGAGAAGACAGTTTGAAAAAGGAAGGACTGATTAACAGGAATCAGATGGTAGCTCATTACAGACATTGTTGATTTAAATGATTTCTTCTCACATCTGCCAGATGGTATTGTATCTGCAACACAGGTCATCCATTACAGCATATAGAAATATTACTCTTCTTCTCTGTTCTTTTGGCCTTCTAACTCTGTAAAACGGAGTCTTATTTTTTTTCAGCAAGCATATACTTACTAGTTAATAAAAGGACTCATTTTAATAATAAAACTGCTTTTTCTAAACCACTAATGGAAGATGATTTTTACTTTTATGAATAGTACTGTAACGTTTGTATGGTATTTTCCTGTTTCCTAAACACTTTTCCTACAATAATCTCATTTACTCCTCACAGAGTTGGGACTATTTTTTTTTTTAACAGGTAAGAAAACAAAGGTTCAAAGTTAGGGGACTTCTCAAAGACCACAGGTAGTTAAATGGTAACATGGAGACTCAAACCCAGGTCTCTCTCTCCACAAGTATTAAAACTGTATTCAACCATCACCATAAATATAGGTATGCTGGTACTAACCTGCAATACAAATGGAAGTTCCTGGAGGATAAATAGCCTCTGATTTAAATCAGTGAGTTTTAATTAGCTCAATGAGTTTAAAAGAATGACGGATACAATAGGATTCAACTGAACACCTGAAATCGATGGACTACCGCTTTCTGAACCACTTTCAGTTCTGAAGCTTGACTGTAAGGAAGGGAACACCTGCCGAGTTACTCAGTCAATTTAAACATGGAGATCAAGGTCTATCGTGTTTGTGACAGAATGCTGTGTCACATGGAATATGTGATCACTAGAACCTTAGAAGAATCATTTAAAACAACCAAAATGCCTTGCAACAGGTGAATGGTTATACAGCTACATCCAAACCCTGGAATACTGTTCAACAACAGAACACTATTGATACATGCAACACCTGGATGGATCTCAATGCTGAGAAAACCCAATCTCAAAAGGTCATGTATTGTAAGATTCCATTTGTAGAACAATCTCAAAATGACAAAATTAGCGAGTTGGAGAATAGATTAGTGATTGCCAACAGGGAGGGATGGTCGGGAGGGAGATGGTTGTAACTATACAGAGTAGAATGAGGGTGACCTTTGAGTAGTGGAATAGTTCTAGGGGTACCTAACTGGCTCAGTTGATAGAGCATAGGACTCTTGGTCTCAGGGCTGTAACTTCGAGCCTTATGTTGGATGTAGAGATTCTTTAAAAAAAAAAAAATGGGGGGGGAGGAGAAAAGGAATAGTTCTAGAACCATATTGTGGTGGGTGGTGGTTACACATGTAATAAAATGGTATGGAACTATAAATACACATTGTACCCATGTATATTTCCTGGGTTTGATATTGTACGAGTTATTTAAGCTGTAACTTAAGTTGGGGAAACTGGATAAAAGGTGAGTGGGAACTCTACTATTTTGCAATTCTTGTGCACTAATTTTGTCAAAATAAGAAGTTTAAAGAAATATCTGGGGTGAGCAAATTGTGACCAGTGGGTCAAATCTGAAGCTCTGTTTTTGTAAATAAAGTTTTATTGGCAAATACCCATTTGTTTACATGTCTATTGCGGCTTTCACACTACAACAGTAGAGTTGAGTAGTTAACAGAGACCATATGGCCTGCAAAGCCAAAAATCATACTAAGAAATAGGTTGCCAACCAGTGAATGAGAATGTAGTGATTAAAAAGGATTTGCAGGAGAAAAACCTGGAAAATGTTAATGATACATTTTTATACAAATAAAGACTAGGAGTTATATAGATATGTACGTGTGTGTGTGTGTATACACAGCGGTTAAGAGTAAAGGTGATTAGTTTCCTGCATTTTCAATTTTTCTACAAAGATTATTATCATTTTAAGAATTAAAACAATGACATTTTAAAAAAGAACCTTTTGATAGAAAAGATTCTCAAACAATCAGTATCAACTTAGCTATTTCTATCTTTACCCTCTCTTACTTAATAGACTATAAAGTGGCCATTATTTTTATACATTGGCTATTATTTTTACACTTTGGTTTAAAATCTTAGACAATTTTTTAAATGAGGGAAAGAAAGTGATCTGGAAGCCATCAAAAGGTTTGTTTAGCATGTTAACAGTGAAAAATAAGCATTACAAAGATCTCAGTTCAAAAATTTTATAAGAAGCCTGGAGAGGATTATGGCTATAATGAAATTGGAAAAAATTCTACTTCTGACTAGACATTCACTTTCTGAGCTGGAAGTTAAGAATACTTTGTGCACACACCTACCAATCCACATTTCCTTATAAAGGCATAGTAGAGAAGACAAAAGGAAGACATTTTCTCATTCAGTTGTCAGCAAGTCAAAGAACTCTTAAGTCCTTTGCAATCCAGAACATACAAACATTAGCAACATCGACATCTTCCATGGCCCTATGGTAAAGAGGGTAGCATATTGGCCTCAACTTACTCACTTACCTCAGGAACGTGAGTTCTGAAAGAAGAAAAGGAATTAAGGATGGCAGAGAGAACACTCCATCAAATTTTGCTTTCCACCGAAGCCCCAAAAAACTACAGTAAAGGAAAATAGAGACAAAGAGAATGGCACGATCAGGGAAGAAAGACGACAATAAAAAAAAATTTGACTCTGGAAAACTGACAGACATGGTGACTTGGAGGACTTAAAACTACATTAGAATCCACTTCCCAAGCTGACAGTAGGGAGAACGAACCATCAAGATTTTTATCTTAAACCCTTCAAAGTCACAGGAATCCCCAGAGCAGCATATACCTCTGGGACTGGGATGAGATAAATGCGGAAGAGCGTGCTAAAATATGGAGGGCCAAGATGAAAGTTTTCTGAAAAGAAGTTGATTCCTGGATCCTCTCCCTCACTCTACACCCCTGGGTGACTGCCCTCTCCAACTCTAGCATTAAGTCTACTCTCCAAAAATGACAAAGAGGCCTATGCATGAGGCACTGCTGAAGGTACAGGTAGGCAGATATAGATATATACACATATTTATGGTTGACTCATTATTTGTAGTAGTTATATTCCATAAAGCCTCTGTGAGCACTGAATGAGCAAATACTGACTTAATACTTCTAGGGGGAATATAGGATTAGGCTCTTGTGAACCTCTGGTCACACTATTTTTATCAACCTATCAATGTACAACCTTGTTTTGTTTTTCTATTTAAAGACACCTTGCATAAATATATATTGTTGATTCAGTAACAGTGAACACTCATAGTGGGCAACACTGTAACTCATGCCTGGATGAAGCTTATCTAACAGACACATTTCCTCCATAAGGCACATCACAGCCTTCCTGCATTTCAACACAACATTTACGGGCCATTTTAAACAGTGAAATCACCAAGAAAAATTGTGAAAACATGAAAAATGTGGCATAGATTGTGAAAAGGACACTTTTACAGTATGAGCTGAAACAAGAAGGCAGAGAGAGCATCACCCTGTTCCACCTTTGCTGAGAACATGCATGTCGGGTGACTCGACCTTTTAACTGCTATGTGCAGGTCTGTGAATGACCATGAAAACACCATGCGTATTGATTTTAGAGTTTCAAATTTTAGCAAATAGGCAAATTGGCAAATAAGAACTTGATTAATGAAGTTGATGTGTGTGTATGTATACAGTGATTAATCTAGTGATTCCTCTCATGAAGAGTGATGCTGAAAGCAGAGAATACACCTCAAACCCCCTTCCTGTACTTGGCTCACAGAACTCTGTCTGCCAGACCCTTACTCTCAAGACAGAATGGAAACTTCCCGGAGAATCTAACCATTCCGTGACAAAATATATCTGTGGATACCAACACTGGGAAGATTCCCAAACAGCTCACCCAGACCACTCTACAATAAAGCTCAAAATCATAAAATGCCACTTATCCATTCAGAATTTCCAGTGTCTCCTTCCTCCAGTCTTAATCATGAGCCAACAGACAGGAATTTCCAAAGATCTGTGGAAAAACTCTAGCATGTAAGCCCAAAACAAATAAAAAAGCAATTTAAAGAAAAATTAAACTCTTAGAAATTAAAAGCCTTACAGGAGAAATGAAAAACTCAAGAAAGACTGGAAGATAAAATTAGGGAAATTTCTCAGAAAGTAAAGTAAAATGGCATAGAGATGGGAGAAGAAAAACATAATTCAAGTACCTCTCTCTGGTCCAGAAGGTCCTACTCCAAATAACAGTTCAAGAGAGAAAAGGAGAAAACCCAAGGAAGAAAATAAAAAATTTTAACGATTTCCAGAAGCCTTGAAAGGACAGGAGCTTCCTTTGAAAAGACACAGCATGATGGATGAAAATCTATCTATAACATCATTGTGAAATTTCAGAACTCTGGAAACAGAGATTCTACCGAGATGAAAAAAAATACTTGACAAAAATATCAGGAATTAGAATGACTTCAGATTCCCATACAGTAAACTTGGAAATGAATGAGGAAAAATCCTTTAAACTTCTGAGGGAGAAAAATCTACAACCTATAGTTTCATACCCAGCCAAACTATTGACCAAATATGGGGGTTGAGTACATTTCTCAACATGCAGGATTTAAAAAAGTTGACATCCCACGCACCGTCTCAACAATTACTAGAGGATGTGCTTCACAACAAACAACGTGAGTAAAATATACAGCAAATAGGCAATTCAACACATGAGGGAGAGAAAATAATTCCCAGGATAACAGCTGGGAACCAGAACCAGAGAGCAACTATTCCATACTGAAGATATATAATGAAAAACGGACATGTTGAAGTCTGTCATGAGCATGATATTCATTGTCTTTGTAATCTGAGGTTAGTATGTCCTAGTGTATCTGGCTCCCACTGTTCTACACTTGGCTTGTTTGACCCTGTCTCATTGGAGTGCTTGTTCTTCCCTTCTTATTCTGACATCTAGATGAGTGGAGGACACTCCTTTCACTCCACAAGAAGGTTCTGCATTGATCTTGACATCACCATGATGTAAAATGTAAAATGAGCATATAACCACTAAACATATTTCTACAGGAGATCCAGGATGCTCCAGCTGTGGTCACTTGTGTTCCCTAGGAGTCGATCACCTAGCTCAACATCTCCTCTTGGGGCTCTTGTAAATTCTAGAAGCTAAACTCAGGCTCAGAGACTATTCAGCTCAAGGATGCCTTCATCAACTGGTAGTAAATATTGCCCTTATAAAGCCAGATTTGTGTTTCAAAACTAAAGATATTGTGCTTAGGAATACTATACAAACTGAGAGTTGTGGAGGGATGGGGTGGCACTGGGGAGGGTATGTATTATAGTGAGCACTGTGTGTTGTGGAAGATTGATGAACTGCAGACCTGTACCCCTGAAACAAATAATACGTTATATGTTAATTTAAAAAAAAAGGAATACCATACAGCTGATGATTAATACAACCTAGATAATACTTAAGAGTTACTGAGGGGAAAGAGTGGAATGAAACTGAGGATGGAACCACAGGTGGCTTCTATGTTCTATTTCTTTTTTTTTTTTTTAGAATGAGAGAGAGCAAGCACATGAGAGGGGGGAGGGTCAGAGGGAGAAGCAGACTCCCCGCCGAGCAGGGAACCCGATGTGGGACTCGATCCCGGGACTCCAGGATCATGACCCGAGCCGAAGGCAGTCGCCTAACCAACTGAGCCACCCAGGCGCCCCTATGTTCTATTTCTTAACCTGAACAGTGCCATGTTTTTGTTTTATTATACATTCTCGTAAAAGTTTAACAATTAAAACGTAATGCCATTAGAATGTTTACCTTCTCCTGACCCTTCACTACAACAAGCTGGATAGAACATATTAACACACAGGAAAAAGCAACATAAATGTACTGATAATCTAACTGTAAAGCTACAAGATGGCTGGAGTTGTCGTTCACCTGAAATCATTTGATGATGTCACAATGGAGGTGTGGATACAGTGGACCACAGTTAATATACACAAATAGTGATAGCTTTTGATATGTTAGACTTATAAAAAACAGCTCTAAAATATCTAAAAAAGTGATTTTCTAATAAGCATTAAGTTCTCATACAAAAGAGGTGCTTAAGGCACAGCAGGCAAATTCTTCATGACTTTGCCCCTACCTGGGATGCCTTAGGCCTTCTTTCTCCTAGCTAATATTGAGTCTAGGTCCTATTGTTCCAAGTTTAAGCAATTCTTTGGTGAAATCTCTTCCCTATCCATTCATTTATATACTACCTAGTGATCATTTACCAAATGCCAGGAGCTGTTCTAGGCCATGGGGATAAAGTAGTAAATAAAAATTCCCTGCTCTCAGTTTGTTCTACTGAGAGGAGACTGAATAACAAGATACAGCTCAGATGCCAAGAGATGCCATGGAGACCATAAAGCAGGGAAGAAGCTTAAAAAATGCAACAGAGGGATTTTGCTATCTTTACACAGTCAGGTGAAAGCTTATAGTGGAAGTGACAACTGAACACCAACCTTGAGGAAGTTTTATTTGCAGTAAGAGCACTTCAGGGGGAAAAGCAAGTACCAAGACCCTCATTTCAAGTGGTACTTTATCAGTGACTTGGTGTTGCTAGTTAGATTTTGCTGCACACACCCCGCCTCCTCAGAAAATGCAGTCCTTGAAGGCAAAAACCCCCTTGTCGCTCTGGACTTCGAACATTTGCTAGGACCTTATGTTAAGTTCCTAACCACTGTTAGAGATAACTCAAATCGTAAATACTCTAAAATTCTACAAAATAATTCAGAATACGTAAGGTTTGTTCTCCAGAATAAAATTAAGATCTTTAAATCTGGAGGCTAATCAGCCTAAATCACAATAATGCTTCAGTAAGACTCATGACTAACAGTCACCTTTCCTTGACTGCAAAATATATAATGTGCTGATTTAAACCCTTTGGATAGGTGAAGTGATATTAGAAGCTCCCAAGAAGGAATTTGAATAGCATCAAGTCAAAATAATATTCCAAGTCTTTAAGATTCTCGCTGGTTTTAAGAACCTTCAATTGAGATAGCTACCAAAATAAATGGTCATCCTTCTTAGGATTTAATACATTCACAATACTAACATAAACCATCATCTGACCCCTGGCTTCTGCAAATCAGCATTAAAATATATACTCCCCAGTTAGATTCTACTTCTATAATGACAAGCTGTTCAGCTGAGTTTTTTGTAGCTATGTTGGTTGAATACCTAAGGCTACTGTTTTTCATAGCTCTTAAAAATCCTAGAATACTAAGATTTACAATTTAAAACAAACAAGGTAACACCCACCAACTTTGGAAAAGCCATATTCAAATGAATCATAGAAGACACATTCTAGTAATTTAGTTATCAAATGCAGCTCACCAGCTAAAAATGGTTCTGCCTCTGCCATTCTGTTCCCAACTCCGACCAAGAGTGTCCAGTTTTTGTGTCTTTTTTTTCCCCCCAGAACAGTCCAGATAGCAACACATTAGTCATGGACACATGAACAAGGGTCACTAACAACTCGTCTGTTGCAAGGGAGTCACAGTTTACCAAATAATTAACAATTGTGATGGTGTCATTGCTTAAGCCTTGAAAAAGTTTACAGGAAAAAAACAAACACCAAACAAACCTCACCAAAAAACAAGGAAAATTTTCAACTACATCTTTTAATCAAATATGAATGGTTCCAAGCATTAAATAATGTTGAAAAGACAAACTTTCTAGTTTAAACTGAAGTAAATATTTCTGATTTTGAGCCAGGTACTCACTGAAGCCAAGGACGTTTTCTTAATTTCTGCTTCTGCTTCCTGTCTTCACTCTTCCTAAATTCCAAAAGTAAGTCATCCAGTAATTGAGTCCCAACAATCCTAATAAATATTCATTTTTACCATCCTTTTGAAACAGCCCTTTGCATACAGCAGGGGGAAACTTAGTTCCTACCAGTGGAATCTTCTCAGGAAAACTCTTAACCACTCAGCATTTCAAATGGAGTTTAATGAGGTCACTTTTCTACATACAGCAAATTAAACCACTTAACTCATGAAAAGGAGTGGAAAGGTTTCAAAGACATATTTGAGAACATCTGCAAAGGACAGCTGGGACAATCATACAAATAAATGAAGAATACACCAATTCCATTTATGTTATGAAGATATTTTCCTTCAACTCATCCAAACATTTCACATTTGTGAAATCATTTATTTCAGAGCAAATTCTAAGCTTATAATATTAAGTTTTAAAATGTTACAATATTTACAAGACAGATGGCAGAGAAAGCTTGGTGGTATAAATACCTGTCAGTAAAAATGGCAGATTAAATAATTTTGTCTCTCTGAAGATCCCTGTTCAATACTGAACATAACGAGGAGCCCCAGCGGGGAAGGCACCTTATCCTAAATGTTCTACTGTCATAGCTTTAGCCCCTCCACATTCTTCTTCAAGTTTAAGAGCTCCTTTTCCTGCCTTCTTTTCTCCAGTTTGAAGGCTAATTTGTTAGCTTTCTTCTCCACTCTCCGTTCCTGTATAAGAATACATTCGGGTTACTCAAATTTTTAACTGATGAAGACTAATTTTACAGAAAATTTCCACAACCATCCCCCCACCATGAGCTCTTTGTACATCTTCCATTACCTTGCGTTCCTCTTTTATAGCTTGTTTTCTTGCTCTTTTATCTTCTTTGCTTTCATTTTTAGATCGAGGTTGGGTTGACACCTTTGGCAAATCACTGCCATTAATCATCTGCATTCGTTCAACTTGTTTTGCTGTGAGTCCTTTCTTAGGTAAGACATTGAGAGGTATTCCTGTTTTAGAAGATATTCGGATTTGTTTGGGCTGAAATAAAGATAAAGTCATACTAAGGTCATTTCCCATTCCTATTAAAAAACAGTTCACTAATGACACACTGTTGTTGCTTTTCCTAATAGTGCTGTAGCCACAAAGGGATACAGCCACTGTGAGAAAATAATCTGTACGTTCCAATTTCTGCATTGCATACTTCAAATAGCTCAGGACCCTAGGACTTACCTTTGGTTGATACTTGATAAGTTGTGGATGGTTATATAAATTTGAGTATGTACCTTTAAAAAAAACAAACAAACATGTACCAATAAGTACACTTTCAATTCAGCAAAACATTACTGAGTTCCTATTATATCCCCAACTTTGATGTTTTCATAGTTCAAAATAACAATGGTCTCTCTTCTAAGTGTTTTTAAATTGTTTGCAACTTAGTAATGGGAATATTACTTTTTCCAAATCATTTTCACAAAACATGTACTTTTTCAATAAATTGATGTACTCAATACTTTAAAATTACTATCATACCTTTAGCAGTAAAATGGACACTACAATACTTACTACAAATAGATTCACAATCCCACTTCTCTTTGGCTTCTTCAAGAACTACAGTAATAACCTCTTCCTCCTCAGACCCATCAAGTTCATTCATTAGCAAGTCCTGATCCTCGAAGGGTTCAAGAGTATTCAGTTTTACACAACTTGTGGTTGAGTTTTCAAAAATGAAGACAAAAGAGGGGGAAAAAAAACCACCCATTATTATACTGTTACTAAAACTGCACTTGAAGAGCTATGGAAACAATAGCATTTTAAAAAAATCCTAGCTCTCCCCAGCCCCAATTCTCCCCTCCAGCAGGTTTTGGACATTCATTCTGCTGACAGAAAAGGGATTTTTGCAGGGTTATAACACACTGAACAAGATGGCAACTTTCCTAAAACATGGTTTTTTTTTAAAGCCTCAAAAAGCATTACCCCATCTGTCTCTCCAAAGTAGTCACATATCCACTCAAAATGCATAGCCCTTGTCTTAGCAGGATCTGCAAATGATGGTGATCATGGAATATCAGACCCTTCCAGCAAATGTAAACCCCTCATTAGTTTCTTGCAGAAAAATCACCTCAATATGGATGCTGAGCTGATTTGTCAAATATTTGGCTGTAAAGTTATGCTAACATGGCTGGAAAGACAAACTCTTATCTTTCCATGAGCCATAAATATCAACTTCTCAGAATACCTGGCATTTTAAAAAGATGAAAATTAGAGGTCAGACTAACTTTTCAGCCAAAGAGGCTAAAAGCACCACCTCATTCTCCAAGTGGAATGTGACCTCGCACCCCCAACTCTAACCCTAGCTCTTCCATCATGACTCTTAGGTCAGAGCCATAGAAAAAGTGGTTCTCAGTAGGTTCCCACTCAATGTTACAGTCAGCTTCAGAACCTTAATATCAAAATGTGAGTCAAAGTTTATGGAAAAACATACCATTGTTTTCTTTTTTAAAGATTATTTATTTATTTGTCAGATAGTGAGAGAGTACAAGCAGGGCAAGTGGCAGGCAGAGCAGGCAGAGGGAGAAGCAGGCCCCCCACTGAGCAAGGAGGACTTGCTGATGGGGAACTCAATCCCAGGATCCTGGGATCATGACCTGAGCCAAAGGCAGTCACCTAACAGACTGAGCCACCCAGGCATCCCAAAACATACCATTTTCTTAATATAGGTTCTGACTGGATAATTTTCTAGATTCAGATGTCCAAATACAGACTTTATTTAAAAATGCAAAAAAGTAAGTAAGCAAGGAAAAGTCATCATACTTCTCTGCCTTCTCTTTGTAGTAGTCATTCAAGACTTCCTCTAAGCGATTGCTGTCTACTTGAATGGAACCTTCCAATTCAGCATTATCCAGAGCTCCAATTTCATCATCATCATATTGTTCATAAAACTTGAATACAGAGAGAAAAGATGCCATGAAAAATAATGTATTAAGACTATAACATTTAAAATGTTATTTTTAATCTTTTTTTTT